TTTTTACAGAAATAGAGATGATTTTGATTGGTTTTAGCACTGGAAATGGCTTGAAAACTGAGCTCATAGTAGCAGAAATGTTAAATTTTTGCCGATATTCAAGAGTAAACAAACGACCTCACAGTCTATACACGCCAGCTGGTGGTTCTAAGATTTCATTCACAAATATGGTGTGATATTTATACAATTATTACGTATTGCATAACAGTAAATCTTCTATTTTTGGGTTTTTGAATAATAAATTTCATTATGTGAATAAAAAATCAAAAAAGGAATTTATTTGTAAAACCTCAAAAACATAACTAATGAAAGAGGAATGTTAGTTTAGTGCCAGGAATTTCCTACATTGTTTATTCTGGCCCTATTTTGAAATTGGAAAATTTTTTAACTTTGTGTTAAATTGGCCCAAAATTTAAAAATTTCCCATCACTTTATTTTGTAGTTGAAACAGTTGACTTGGCGATTTCTTGTGCTCAATCGATAGAATAGAAGTAATACTAGTGAAATAGCTAAGAATTTGGTTGATTGGAATAATGTAATTGGCCTAAAATGGGAGTCAAAGTCGGCAAAATCGCCGATTCGTAAATATCGCTGACACATCAAAATTCGCGAGAGCATAATTTCGTCAATTTTCCACCAAATTTCGTACTTTTTGTTTTATTACCTTCACAAAAAGATTATCTACGATTTCCTAAGAAAAAATAACAAATTTTTTTTTTGAAAATTCTTGGACACTGGTGCGTGACTCCAGATTTGGGCCTTGGACCCTGAAAGGGTTAAAAAGAGAAATTTTCGTTTTTCCTTTTGGGCCACCCTGCTTTGGTGAGATATGGCTGGTTTGTTTAACCCCTAAATGGTCCAAACGTATATATACGTTCACCTGTGCAGCACCTCAAATGTTTTGAGAATTTTTTTTTTTTATAGGAAAAAAGAGCATGTGGTACCCAGGCACTCCCCAATATTTTTCATTTGGCGCACACTGAGTGCGCACACCCATTCTCTCATGTCTAGGTGGCTCAGGCCTATCGTGCCAATGTTGAATGAATGACAAATGAAACGTATATACAGTGGAACCTCAAAAATCAAACGTATCACATATCGAACGTTTCGAAAATAGGACCATTTTTTCGGACAAACTGTGTCCCTATTATCGAACGTGCCCCTATTTTCGGACTGCCGGGTACGGGACCTGTCTACCACCTGCTCTGTCCGCGTCCCCGCGCAGGCACCGTGAGCAGTCTAGCTTTGTTTATGCTTGAGTGAACACTAACCTGCGCTCTCATTCACGCATTTTACGATTATTTCGTTGTGTTTAGTGCTTGTGGGACTGTGAAATATGCTGCCATGGGCCCAAAGAAACTTGCTAGTGTTACCCCTGTGGTAAAGAAAGTGAGAAACACCATAGATGTGAAGAAGGAAATAATACAGAAGTATGAGAGTGGTGTGAGACTTGTTGAGCTTGCCAGGATGTATGGGAAAAACAAGTCGAACATCAGTTCTATCCTGTCAAAGAAAAAACAAATCAAGGAAGCTGATGTTGCGAAAGGTGTTAATATAAGGAGTGGATGAGGTGCCTTCTTCAAAGATTAAGGAGATTTGTGCCAAGTGGAATGATGTCCAAATGTTTGTGCAGAAGTACCACCCTGAGCAAGCTGAAACAAGCCATCTTTGCAACAAGTTCAGTGACAGAACCATGTCCCATTTTAGGGAAATGTTAAAGAGACGCCAGAAACAGAAGACTGTGGACAGTTACTTTGTGAGACAGGGGTCCAGTGACTCTCAAGCTGGTCCTAGTGACATTAAAAGACAGAGAAGGGAAGTAACCCCAGAGAGGGCTTTACCTGAAGTCCTCATGGAGGAGGATTCTCCTTCCAAACACTAACCCCAACTCCCTCTCTCCTCCTCCCTATCTTCCAGATGCCATCACCAGGTAAGTAAAAATGTTATTTTATATGTATTACTATACATAATTAAAAACTATAATATCTGTTGTATGTAAAACTGTAATTAATCTCTACAAAATGTATTTTTTGTGTGAATATTTTTGGGTTTCTGGAACGGATTAATTGTATTTCCATTATTTCTTATGGGAAATATTGCTTCGAATTTCAGACTTTTCGAATTTAGAACTAGCTCCTGGAATGGATTAAGTTCGATTTTTGAGGTTCCACTGTATATGTTTGGACCGTTTAAGGGTTTAAAAAAAACTGTAAGTGTGGTAGCTGGTGTGGGAGCTACCACACCTGATTTTCTATAATATATACTCATCTCTCACCATATACTAAGGCTAAAGATAATTTAAGGTAAGTAATGAGTGTACTATATGTATATTTTACTTTTTTATAGTTTTTAATGCCTTATTCTATTGCCAACTTAATATATGTTTGTGTAAACTTGTTATCTGGCATTTATATGCATTTATAAGTGGAAAAAAGACATTATGCTTGATGGTGGTAGCCTGGAACCTAACCCACTGCATGTAGGTCCCTTCTGTACACAATGTAGTATATCCACACTGTTTTATAGAGTGAATAACCGAATAACCACTGTTATAGCATTAACAACCACAGTGTTATAAAGTAAACATTTGAAATAAGGCAGGAGGAGGTGCATTTCCTTCTTAAATCGCTTGACCAAGAAAAGGCTGTGGGCCCAGACAAGTTGAGCCCAAGATTGCTGAGATGTGCAGACCAGCTAGCAGCACCTCTAACTCGCATCTTTCAGCACTGCCTGGTACAGTGTAAATGGCCCTCTCTATGGAAAGAGGCAAATGTAGTCCCTGTTCACAAAAAGAAGAGCAGAGCAGAAATCAGCAACTACAGACCAGTGTCACTCCTGTCAATCACTGGTAAGATCCTTGAGACAATAATCTCAAGAGAAATGACAGAGTGAACATTAAAATGGTATAAAATACCGACAGGTTGTTAGGCAAGACACATATGCACATATGCATATGAGGGACTGACCACCTCAAAACTTTAAGGGTGATGGACTGATTACATCGTCTTCAAGTATCTTCTGCTTCTATCAACTTTTCTGTACTTGACTGATGAAGCCTACTGTGTAGGCGAAACGTTTCATAATAAAGATACCTAACTGTTGCATATGTGTCTTACCTAACAACCTGTCGGTATTTTATACCATTTTAATGTTCAATCTGTCAGACACTGCAACACAAGGGTATCTTGGTACAGACCTGCAATCAACTTCGACAACTTCCACTAGTAAGAGCGGCTGGATCTGAGAGGGACCTGACCTCTCAACATCTGAGTTCTTACCTCTCCTAGTGGCCTACGTCTCACCTCTTGGCGCTATATAAGCTCCATCCTGTCACTTCATCTCCATATTGTTTCATACTATGGAACAATGCTCTTCTCCAGACTGAGGGACTGACCACCTCAAAACTTTAAGGGTGATGGACTGATTACATCGTCTTCAAGTATCTTCTGCTTCTATCAACTTTTCTGTACTCGACTGATGAAGCCTACTGTGTAGGCGAAACGTTTCATAATAAAGATACCTAACTGTTGCATGTGTCTTACCTAACACACAAATGACAGAGTTTTTTGACTACCACTCACTACTTTGTGATCATCACTATGGCTTCAGGAAAGGTTACTCTGCTGCTGATCTGTTGTTAAACCTCTCCACTAAGTGGCACCAGTCACTGGATGAATCCAAAGTCAGCTGTATGGTAGCACTGGACATTGCTGGCGCTTTCGACCGGGTGTGGCACCAGGGCCTCTTAGCAAAACTTCAAGCACTGGGAATTGCAGGCTCTACGTTATGTCTCCTCAGTGCTTACCTTCATGGTAGATCTCTAAGTGTAGTTCTCAATGGAACGGAATCAGCAAGACATCCTATTGGGGCAAGTGTTCCACAAGGAAGCGTACTGGGACCATTGTTATGGAATGTCTACTTCAACGACCTTCTTCATCTCATCCCAGAATCACATGCATATGCAGACGACTGTACACTGACATTCACTTATCCAAGAGAAGAAATGCCAGCTGCTGTAAGCTACATCAATCAGCTGAGAGCTATATCAGCTTGGGGAAACAGATGGCAAGTAACATTTGCACCTGAGAAAATGCAAATGATGATCGTCTCTAGGCACCATGATGGTAATGCTGGTGCAGTAGTAAGGATGAATGGGAGGGTGTTGGCACCTGGAGAAGTTGATATCCTTGGGGTGAAATTTGACCCCAAACTAACCATACAGAACCATGTTGTAAATCTTGCAAACAAGGCAGCCAGGAAGCTTACAGCACTTCGCCTTATCCCGCATCTGCTTGACAGTAGGGGTTGCAAGATTCTGTACGAGGCACAAGTACGCTCACACCTTGAGTATGCTCCACTTTCTTGGTTTGCCTGCCCCCCCCTCTCATCTGCGACTGCTTGACAGAGTAGAGAACAGAGCAAGATGTCTCATCTCTCGCCTGGACCCATCCTGGATAGATCTGTCATTTCAGCAGAGCCTTCAACATAGGACGGATGTGGGTGGCCTTACTGTCATGTACAAGGTCAATATTGTCAAAGTACCACACTTGGATCCACTTCGAGGACAGCGTGAAACAAGCTTTTATGCCACAAGACGGGCAGAAAGCAGCAACTTCACTCTGGCTGTACCCTTCTCCAGAACATCACTCCATCTGAGATCATATATACCCAGGATGACTCGAGTATGGAACACATTCGTACAGCATAATGATGTCAATGAGATAAAGTCACTTGATCACATGAAAATGCTGGCCCACAGATGGCTCCAACTTCATCCTGTTCCCTACTTGTATGTCTCATAACAATAAAAATGCTTTCAAATGAGCTGATGTAGGTAACAGCTCTTAGCTTGCCAATAAAGTTAGGAATCTTTAACCTGTAAATAGCTTGTCAATAAAGCTAGGGATCCTTAACCTTGTCAAACCCTGTGTAACAAAAAAAAAAAAAAAAAAAAAAAGTTCGCATAGTGTTTATAGTTAAGGTGACAACATCAAACCTACCTGAGTATTTTGTGTAGGAATTTGTAGAGCCAGAGCTAGAGCATTATAATCGAAGCTTTCATCCAAGGCTACCAGTGCCCCATGAACCCCAGACTCTATCAGATTATTTGCATATTCCTGTGAAAGAAAGAATACCATTAATATACATTTGACTAAATAGATATGCAGTTTGAAAAAATTATGTATGACCATTTACAGAAAATGTTACATCATAAGAATTAGCCTTAACAGCAGTAGGCCTACTGGCTCATGCACAGCATGTCCTTGTACACAAACCTTCACATTCATATATGTCCGACACTATCTTTAAAACTACCCAAGTTATTAGTTTCAATGAATTTATTCAACTTAAATGCACTGATCCAGGTCCTTTCTTGGTTACAAAACCTAAGCACTCTAGTTAAACTGTACTTCCTTATTTATACATGTCTTCATCTTGTGCACCTCAACCATATCCTTGCCCCCCTCCCACTATATTTTTCAAGAGAGTAAAGTTTCAGGGCTTTAGTTTATATTCAGAGGACACAGGTAAACAATTTCCAATCCCACCTCTAAAACAGACATGAAATCACAAATGACACCTAATCCAGTATGCTACCCATAAAACTAAATGTTGCACAGGAAGATATAAGCAAGGTTTTCCAGTGGATAGTGGAGAACATGATGTTCAATGGTGATAAGTTCCAGATGCTTAGGTATGGAAAGAAAGAGAAGTGAAAAAGGGACACTGTATACAAAACTTGACAATCATCAAACTAGAACAAAAGGAACACATGAAAGACCTGGGAGTAATTATGTCTGCTGATCTATTTTTTTAAAGAACACAATAAGACCAAGGTCAAAACAGCTAGAAAGATGATGGGGTAGATAATGAGAACTTTCAAAACAAGGGAAGTAAGGCCAATGGTGACATTTTTCAAATCACTCATGTTACCTCATTTGAAATATTGCTCAGTGTTGACGGCCCCGTTCAAGGCAGGAGAAATATCATAGCTGGAACAGAGACAGAGATCATTTACGGCCCACAAAGAGCCAATAAATTATTTAACCCTTTTGGTGTCGGTCCCGTTGTATCACAGCTTTGAAGCCAATGTTGGTCCCGTAGTATGATGCCATGAGCTCAGCTCATTCAGATAAGTTGTGAGCAGTAAATCTGGGCCTAGATATGAGAGAATAGGTCTATGCGGTAAGTGTTCACCATATAAAAAAAACCTGCAGCACACAGTGCACAAGAAAAAAACTGCGACTGCATGTTTGGGTTAAAGCAGTTGCGGTGTATTTTCGTAAGGATATATTCTCGGTTTCTTGGTCTCATTTGATATTGATTAGTTTCTGAACTGAAAGTAGCTTGAAAGTGAATGCAAAGTAGTGGAAATGTTCGATTTTTGCTGATATTCCAGAGTACACAATGTGCATCCAACTGGCCAGACTAATATGCATTTAGGAATGCACTGACATTATTTAAATTTAGTAATTTATACAGGAGAAGGGGTTACTAGCCCCTTGCTCCTGGCATTTTAGTCGCCTCTTACAACACGCATAGCTTATGGAGGAAGAATTCTGTTCCACTTTCCCATGGAGATAAGAGGAAATAAACAAGAACAAGAACTAGTAAGAAAATAGAAGAAAACCCAGAGGGGTGTGTGTATATATATATATATGCTTGTACATGTATGTGAATACATGTATGTGAATAAAGGTGAATAAAGGAAAGAGTAAGGTTATGAGGATAACAAAAAGATTAGGTGATGAAAGATTGAATATCAGATTGGAGGGAGAGAGTATGGAGGAGGTGAACGTAATTCAGATATTTGGGAGTGGACGTGTCAGCGGATGGGTCTATGAAAGATGAGGTGAATCATAGAATTGATGAGGGAAAAAGAGTGAGTGGTGCACTTAGGAGTCTGTGGAGACAAAGAACTTTGTCCTGGAGGCAAAGAGGGGGGGTGTATGAGAGTATAGTTTTACCAACGCTCTTATATGGGTGTGAAGCGTGGGTGATGAATGTTGCAGCGAGGAAAGGCTGGAGGCAGTGGAGATGTCATGTCTGAGGGCAATGTGTGGAGTGAATATAATGCAGAGAATTTCGTAAATTTGGAAGTTAGGAGGAGGTGCGGGATTACCAAAACTGTTGTCCAGAGGGCTGAGGAAGGGTTGTTGAGGTGGTTCGGACATGTAGAGAGAATGGAGCGAAACAGAAAGACTTCAAGAGTGTATCAGTCTGTAGTGGAAGGAAGCGGGGGAGGGGTCGGCCTAGGAAGGGTTGGAGGGGGGGGGTAAAGGAGGTTTGTGTGCGAGGGGCTTGGGCTTCCAGCAGGCATGCGTGAGCGTGTTTGATAGGAGTGAATGGAGACAAATGGTTTTTAATACTTGACGTGCTGTTTGGGGTGTGAGCAAAGTAACATTTATGAAGGGATTCAGGGAAACCGGCAGGCCGGACTTGAGTCCTGGAGATGGGAAGTACAGTGCCTGCACTCTGAAGGAGGGGTGTTAATGTTGCAGTTTAAAAACTGTAGTGTAAAGCACCCTTCTGGCAAGACAGTGATGGAGTGAATGATGGTGAAAGTTTTTCTTTTTCGGGCCACCCTGCCTTGGTGGGAATCGGCCGGTGTGATAATAAAAAAATAAAAATACATGTATGTGTAGTGTGACCTAAGTGTAAGTAGAAGTAGCAAGAAGTACCTGAAACCTTGCATGTTTATGGGACAGAAAAATGGACACCAGCAATCCTACCATCACGTAAAACAATTACAGGCTTTTGTTTTACACTCACTTGGCAGGACGGTAGGACCTCCCTGGGCGGTTGCTGTCTACCAACCTACTACCCAGGAACAGTTATTATATTGTTTACAAAACATGTTTGCACAAACTAACAATAAAAATGTTGTTTATTACTATTTAGCTATCACATATATACACATATAAAGTCAATGGACACTTCCCAGAACTGCTACAGCTTCTGTAAAGTTAATAGTTGTTGTGTGGGGGTGGACTTGTAAATATGCTGAGTCACCGGCATAATTAGTGTCACAGTGACAGATAACACCACCACTCACCACCCTCACTGCCTGTCAACACCCATCCCTTCCTCATCACCCCACCAACCCACATGGAAATGAGTCACTGTCTGAATTTCTTGAGTTATCCTAGGTTGATGGTCTCCCTCCTTCCTTCCTCCCTTCCTTCCCTCCTTCCTCTCATCTCTTCCTTTCTTCCTTCCTTCCTCTCATCTCTTCCTTCTTTCCTCCCTTTCTTCTACCTTCCTTCCTTCCTTCCTTCAGGTTGGTTTCCTGGGCATTGCCTTCGGTCACAAACTCCTCAAAACCATGAAATTCATCTTCACTGACACTTCCATCTGTGTTTGAACTGTCATTTGGGAACAAAAGAGCCCCAGTTAGCTAAGGAGTGAGGAGTTTCTTACCACTAGACATGGTGAACAAGGTGTAATAAAATGGCTTTCCCACAATGCACCACTGGGTCCCCGATTTTTTTTTATACCACACACACTGACCATGGAGACCCATTCTCTCACATCCACGACTACCAGCCCTTTCCTGCTTGATTTGAGGATGCTAGAATTTATGCGTACTAGTACAGCACCAACCCTGGCAGGTAAGCAGTACTAGTATGGCACCAACTCTGAGAGGGTTAAGGAGCAGAGGAAATGTTTATTTAGTGCCAGGAATGTCTACATTGTTTATTCTGGACCCCATTTTCAAATTGCCAATTGTTGAATTTTGTGTGAAATTGGCCAAATTACCAATTTCTGATCACTTTACTGAATAGCTGAAATAGGTAAATTGGGGGTTTCTTGTATTCATTTGATAGAATAGAAGGAATACTAGTGAAATAGCTATGATAAATAAAGTGTAACGTGGGGGAAATTACCGATGTGTAACTATCACCGAGACCACTAACTTTGCGAGAGCATAATTCCATAAGTTTTGCAATAAATTTTGTACCTTTGGTTTCATTATCTTTGGAAAAACATGCTCTATCATTTCATAAGATAAAATACTTTTTTAACTCCTAATCTCTTTCAATCTGTCTTTGTCTATCTGTCTCACAGGTACACATAAATACAAGTATACATAGTATAAATTACCTAGGATAACCCAAAAATCCAGACAAAGTGCTATTCTCTGCTTGAAGATGTGAGTAAAGGTGATGGTGCAGTCTTGTGGCTCTCTCTGAGACAGAGAGCTAGACAGATAGACAGGGAGCTTGACAGACAGACAAATAGACAGACAGAAATGTTTGTGTACCAGCAAAAACAAAGCGTGTCAGCATAGTTGCTGATCCCCCTTGTATGTGTTGTATAGCGTATCATAGTACCATCCATGTGCTTTATATAGAAGATCCCTTTTAGGCCGAGTGTTTGTGTGACGTCACGGGATGCGCATGTGTACGTTCGTACCTCTGCCTCCCTCTCAGTCGGCGTGTAGACATAGGCAGGACAAGGCAGGCTGGGCTTCATCTCCCATTACCACAGTCTGACAATATAGCGTTACCATCCAACAAGTGTGTCTACCTTCAACCCTCAAATCTCCTTTAAGAACCCCTTACTACAATTGGTGACAGCGGTGTGGGCGTAAAATTGATAATTACGCCGATGTATGGAGATTTCTTTCGACCAGCAAGACGGCCATTTCGTGTCGCCAGTAGGCCGACCTAGCCAAGCCAGCTACCTCAAGCCAGCTACTCTCTCAAGCTTCTACCAGCCATTACATTATTCACTGGTCAGTCTCTTTGTATTAGTGTTTATCTGCTTATTTGCATCACTCCCGAGGGGTAGACCCGAGTTTGCAAAGTAAGCCAGCAACCAGTCTGTGGTGGGGGAGTCAGAACAACCCAGTCAGTCCAGCCTAGCCTACTCCATCCAGCTTTTGCCTGCCAAGCCAGCTTTCCACCCCTGCTGTGCTCATCGTGAGAAGTTATCAAGCTATTCTGTGTGAAGGGTTAAGATAAGCCAAGCCACCCAGCAACTAACCCAGGTTTCTTACCCCAGTGCTCAAGCAAGCCACGTGGGTGCAGTTTTCATCGCTTGTGATTCAAGCTCCAAGCCATTCTGAGTGCTCTTTTTCATCCCTGTGGTGTTGTGGTATTTCGTGGGTTTG